CTATCTATCTATCTATCTATCTATCTATCTATCTATCTATCTATCTATCTATCTAACTATCTATCTATCTATCTACAAGTATACATATATGATAATACATGTATTATGCATTCTTTACGTCTGTCTTTCCGTGTGTCTGTCTGTCTCTCTAGTTCCCCCCTCGTTATCTTTCTCCAGAAATTAAGGGAGTAAGAGAATGGGGATGTATAATGTATTCGCACCCCCCCCCCTTCCACTCATAAAAAAAAATAATTTAAAAATCCAATAAATAAAAAAAATACATGTACCAGACTAAAGGAATATTTCATAATCAAGACAGACTGCAACTTCTGAACTGAACTGTATTGTACAAAATTAAATGAAAGAAATAACGCAGGAACTGATACCTCGTATTCTTGCTATTATCCATTTTGGGGTGGCAAAAAAAACAAAATCATTTTGCAGAAAGTTTGGCGACAAACTGTATAGCTTTGTAGCTGTAACAGAATTCAGCAACTAAGATGTAAAAACCCGATAGGCTTTCTAACAGTCTATGAGGTTTCCGTTGACGAATGTTTTGAACTTAGGTCTATAGTATCATGTTTATGACTCATACGTATGTGAGATTTAACTGTTTTCTGTGGCGTTTTTCAAATTTTATTTTGTTTCTTGCTATCATTGTTCCTTAGCGAGTCAAATGTTCATTTCATATCAGCTGACAAATAAGATACTTTGTTGGATCAAATAAAACTAAATCTCCTTTTTGTTCGTTCAGCTAATTGTAATTTGATTTGTAAAACAGGCAGTATTGTAGCTATCATTTTCGCAGTACATCGGCATTAGAAAACAAACATCTTTATTGTCCAGATAAAAGGACATTGGTCTGGTGTTTCACTTGATAATTTTTAAAAAATGGAGAAAAAAAGGGGAAAAAATAAAAACAAAATACATGGGTACAAAAGGTAAAAGACAACAATTGTAATGGAACAAATAATATAGGGGGCTTCAGTCCCCAGGGAAATCATGTGAAAGTAAAAATATATCTAACTTATAATCACTGCCCCCCC